TGCCTCACCGAGAGTCTGAAGAGAGCAACAAGCAGGAGAAGGAAAAAGCATTGGGCACCTCCTTGTAGTTGCATTCAAACGCATGTCGCCAACGTCCCACTAGGCAATTAAATTTTCCAGACAGCGCTGTAGATCAGTTTCAGAAGATGGCAATATAACAACGTCGTCTGCAAGCAGCGACCTCTTCGTCTCCACTTTCTATACACCGATGCACTCAACACCTTGACAGCTGCTGACAATTCTATTCATCTACCAGGATAAGGGACAGGACGTAGCCTTTGCAGAGACCAGTGCGAACACTGAATGGTTTCGACTTAACGCCATTAACTCTGACACAGCACCTACAATCAGAATACAGTGATTGGATGATCCTTAACAGCTAGTCATCTCTGCCGTATGTTCGCAGGCATGCACACAGGTTGCTGCGCCGGATACGGTCAGAGGCTTTTTAAGGTCAACAAAATACATGTACACCGGACGGGCGTACTTCCACAATTTCTTGACAATCTGGCGCAGGACGAATATATGGCCAGAGGTGCTTCCACCTAGCCGTAGGCCGTGCTGCTCTTCTTGTATCTTCGAGTCTGTTACTTCATCACATTTCTATCATCTTTGCGTAGACATTACCTGGGATTCTCAATAAAGTAATGCCCCCTATAATGAAGCATTCCTTGTGGTATACCTTCCTGAACAGGGGTAAAATAGCTTGCATTTTCCAATCCGTTTGTGCTTCTGCCATAGTCATCGCAGCTTGACAGATAGGTGGAAGCCAGCCCGTATCTTTTTTCTAGTGCCTTGAACATTTCAGGGCGGACTTGATCAATTCCAGCAGCGTTTCATTTTTACAAGCTTTGCACGGTGTGTCTAATTTCATCTATGGAGATAGTAATATCCGTTCCCTGCTCATACAGGTGAGCCTTCCTGCGGTTGTGCGGATTTAAAGAGTTCTCAGAGTACTCCCTCCATCGCCGAAGAATGCAATCATCTTTGATAATAGTGTGTTCAGACCTATCCTTAAAGTCTGTAAGACTGGCCTTCTACTAACCTCGAAGCCGGCGGATGGTATGCAAGAATACTTTGTTTGCCGTGTGGAAATTCGACTCCAACACCTCACCGAACTTCTCCCAGGAATCAGCCTTGGTTTTGCCACTGCTGTGGCTGCCGCCTTTCGTGCCTCGACATGTTGCACGCCAGTAGAAGGCTTTTGTTTTCAAGCCATTTCCTCAACGCTGCTTTCTTCTATTTAACTGTCAGTTGTACCTCACTTGTTCATCATGTTAGACCTTTTCTAACCTCTAGGTGGCAGTCAAATCAGTTTAAATCCGCAGCATTGTGCGACAACATCGAGTATGCCGTTCTTAAAGAGCTGCCATTCGGTTTGTCATTATCGAGATCTGTTCAAACCGTCGTGCGATTTGCTTGTAAATTTCGCTCTCGTGTCCACCTAAGAAAATGCTTCCCATTTGATTCTCTGGTTGTTTCTGCCACCAGATCTTTGTATTGCAATCATTTCTTATTGCGTAGCGAGGCAACAACAAGGTGGTAATCGGTTGATAGCTCTGCACCTTTCTTAACGGAAATATTCAGTGCTGAGCGTCTTAAGTCAGACGATGCGATTATAAAATCTATCATCGGCTTCTGTGCGCAAGCTTGTCGGTACCAGATGTATACTTCGATGCTCGAAGAAGTTGTTTATAATAGACAGTCCGTTATTTGCCCAAAACTGCAACAGTTTAATGCCGTTATTGTTGAGTTCGCTAGTGCCGCTTTATTTAATCACGCCTTTGGACTTTTCAGCGTCTGCTGCGACGTGCTGATTAAAATGGCCAATGAGTGTTATGGACTTTGTACTGGGCACTTGGGACAGAGCACACTGCACTTCCTCAAGGAAGGTATCATATTCACCCTCCAAATTTGGCGCATAGATCTGTACTAAGGACAACGCTTTAGCATGTTTTAGCTTCAGTCGGAGCATTGCAACCCTTCCGCTGACAGGCTTCCATGATATTATTTGCGAGGTTGAGTTCTACCAGAACACCAACTTCTGCCTCAGCGCTCGTCGTGATGTCGACACCTGAGTAGAATGGCTTGCACCTCCGGAGGCTCAAGTTTCCAGAACCTTGGCGCTTGGTTGACGAGGGTCCAACAAAGTCTAGTTCGTTCGTTATGGCCTTATCATTTAAGTCTTGCTCTTTTCCTGTGAGTGAATATATTCGAATTTACGACCGTATGCTCCCACTGGTGTCATTCTTGTGAAGTCTATCTTGGCATACTATCATTGAATCGCGCTCTCTGCCTCCTCTGTTCAGAACGGGTAGTATCTGCTCCGTTGTTGACTGGTACGTTTGTCATCATTCCGTGAATCTTGGTTAGCCGTTGTGGTGATGCTGCGCCTCCCGGCTGGGAGAGGGCGATAAGCAGGGTCTGATCGTCGTTTTGGAAGTTTTCCTCAGCCCCCACATCAACAGCCTGCGCGACCTTTGGTAACCCGGGCGACGACCGATCAGGTGTAATTTTCGATGGCGTTAATACTATGAATGGCAGATCACAAACGTTTACGGAAGCTTCGTTACGGTCTCTAACCCTCCTTCTTTAGTAGCCGTTCTCTGGAGCGGCAAAGGCGGAGTTTTGAAGTATTTGTTTGATTTGCAGGTATTATTTACAGTACGTTACGGTAGCGATGTTATGCTTGTGGTCTTGTTCTTTGACGGTTGTAGAGTCTAACTGTAATGGTTTAAAGTGTTCGTGTCTCATTT